TGGGGAGGGCGCGGGCGCCTCGGGGATACGCGGGGACGAGGCGCCAGCTCCCGTCAGGCATGTTTTGTCTGAGGTGGCAATCTGGCGACCACCTCTCCTTTTTGGGTTCTGGGTGGTGAATTCGCCCCTGTGACGTCGCACCATTTCTCTAGGTTTTACTTTGCTGTTGGGGAAGGACTCTGTGCACACGGCTGGAAGGGACACTCTACGATTTCTTTTAAAGGGCGTATCCTTTTGAGAAATCTGGGTGTCTGTGGACCCCAGAAGATTTAGTGTTACTATGGAATTAGTATTATTCAGTGTTATTATTGCAGTGGCACCTGTAAGCAGTTATTTTTTTTTATTTTTTATTTTTTATTTTTTATTTTTTATTTATTTATTTTTTTTTGAGTTGGAGTCTCACTCTGTCGCCCAGACTGGAGTGCAGTGGCCGCTCCCGGCCACCACAATCTCGCCTGCTGGGCTCCGGCGATCCTTCCGCCTCAGCCTTCTGAGTAGCCAGAATTACAGGCATGCGCTACCACGCCCAGCTGATTTTTTGATTTATTGTAGAGATGAGGTCTCGCTGCCCAGGCGGGTCTCGAACCCGCGGGCTCAGGCAATCCACTCACCTCAGCCTCCCAAAGGCGCGGGATTACAGGCTGAGCCACCGAGCCCGGCTAGCAGTTATTTTTATAACCCCTTCCCCAAAGTTTCAGACATTCCTCAATTATTTTTTTTAAAGATGTGGGGGACAACTACTAAGTGCCTACGAGGTGCTCTGAACTAGGCTAGGAATGTAGCTGTGGCCTAAAAGGCCTCTCTCCTCCTCAGGTCTTGTTCCACCCACATTTTTTCCTGTCAAAAACGCTATTTGTAAATGGTTGTTAGCGAATATATGCTGTTTTGCATATGACTTCAGACAATCTTTCCTTATAAATGTCCTTCCCCCGCCCCGCCCTTTAACATAGTATCCAGAATGAATGACAACCTATTTCTCAGTTTGGACAGACTTTTGGTAGAGTTTGGTAGGTATAAAATGAAAATAAATACATAAGTAACTTTTTGTATTATCATCTGACATTTTAACAATGAATCGAAGCCACAAAATAATTATTTGTTTTAGTCTTCCAGTATGAGCAAGACATAAGCGCTAAAGAAGATATGATTCAAAGAATTAATAGTAAGTAGTTTTGCATGATAAGGATGTTTTAGTCTTTTAATTTTTTTTCTGGCATATAGAATAATGCACAATTGCCTTATTTAGGGTAACTTACCGGAACTTTAGTGCTGGTTCCCTCTAATGACTAATAGGCTATTTACCCTAGGCAGAGTAGTTGTGACTTAGCTATCGTTTTTTGGTGATAAATTTCTATATTCAGTATTTAATTATTTAGTGAAGAATTTTGCTCTAAGTAGAAATGACCTATAAAGTGCAGATGAAAATATATGATTTTTCTCAAAGAACAGGCTATTTCAAATATGTAAATGACATTGTTTTATCTTCATAGAAAAAGCCAAAATTTAGGCATTATAAGATTAATGGGGCTGGGCACAGTGGCTGGCGCCTATAATCCTAGCACTTTGGGAGGCAGAGGTGAGAGGATTGCCTGAGCCCAGGGGTTCAAGACCAGCCTGAGCAACTTGGCAAAACCTCTGTCTATAATTAATCAAAAAATGAGCAAAGGTGGCATGCACCTGCAGGTCCAACTACTTGGAAAGTTGAAGCAGAAGGATCATCTGAGCCCAGCAGGTTGTTATGCCACTGCACTCCAGTCTGGGTGACAGAGTGAGACTCTGACTCAAATAAAAAAATAAAAATATTTATGGATGTCACATTTTCAGAAGTAAGTAATTCTGAAAAATAGTGTCATGAGGGAAATGGCAAGACAAATTACATAACTACTGTATAGTATTTTAAGAGACTTCATAAAAGCTATCAAAATAGAACTATATATTTCTTAATAGTTCTGAAAAGGTAGAATTTGGTTATCTTTTCTTCAATCAAAAAAGAATACAGGATATTAACAATTTAATATTTTCAAGAAATTTTATTTTTATTCTGTATTTAATTATTAGTAACAGAAATAAGTTGAAGGTGCATTTAATAATTGACATGGAATTGATGAATAGAAATTGTACATTTATCAAAAATAGTAGTCTTACATGAATTCATAGCATCATAAGATGTGATTGACCTTAGATGTCACCTAATCTATCTTGAAGATGAGGCACAGGGGATATTTATTTCTCTTCAATCCCAAAAACAAGTCCATTTTTGTTTCGGGGTCTAGGATAAGGCCTGACTCTAGTTCTCTGCTTTTTAGCATAGGGCCCTGCCCATCCAAGTCTCATTTTCTCTCTGTTCTCTGGTTCTCCTCCTTTTGGGTAAGTTGCCATTCCCCCTTTCTTTTACTGTTATTTGTTTATTTTGAATTTAGGATTTCTAAGAATAAACATTTCCTCTTTTTAGAATGTGTTGAAGATATTAAAGAAAGCAAAGTAACTATTTGTAAGATACAGGAAACTATAAATACAACAGATGAAGAAATTGGTCATTACTGTAAACATAGTAAGGAGATCAAAGACAACTGTAGTAAGTGAGTATTTGAAAGAATCTATTGTCTTTTAAGTTGCCTTGTACTATGCTACTGTGAAAAGGGATCACAGGGATCTGCTAATGTTGGAATGTTACAGATTCTTTGCCCATTTTTAAATTGGGTTAGTTGTTTTTATTTTCTGTTGAGTTGTTTGAGCCCTGTTTCAACTTTTTTTTTTTAAAGCAGGATTTATTGAGAGGACAGAAAAACTCCCACAGTGGGAGGGGATCCGAGGGGGTGGGCCAACTTTTTTTTTTGGATAGAAAAATATTGGAAGCAACTCCAGTGTTCAATGTTAGGAAATTGGTTAAATGAATTTTGAAATACCCATATGAATGAACCCAAGGCAGCTAATAAAATTATGATATAGGTATATACTTCCAGTATATTACAAATTAAACAAAGCAGATTAAAAAGTAATATAGTATTAAACCAACTTAGTAATTGTATATTTATATATAATTGGAAAAAATCTAAAGGACTATACATACATCAAAAGGCTTATAGTGAATATCTTCTCAGTGAACATGTATTTTCCATGGAATTTCTAAAGATTGAAATATATATATATAACTTTTGACCTCCTGATTCTATTTGGATAATATTTTCTAAGGAAATGATCAGAAATTCAGACAAACATTTAAGTACAAGTTCTGTTCAGTAAGAGATAAAGAGGGATACATTGTTATATGTGGATATGAGCTCAATGATGTTAAAATATATAATTATAGTAAAATCTGGAAATAGTTTATTAAAACAGTAGTAGTTACTATTCAATGTTGAGAATATGGATAATAGTTACTCTTTTATATATACTTTATGTGCCTCTAAAGTGGACATGTATACTTTTGAATCTGAAAAAATGGAAAAAGAAATAATTTGGACAATACTTAGAAAGGGAGCTGCCATGGTATATACTCATTTTAGATTTTTTTATATTGGTAACATTTTTCAAGTTATATAATAAAAAATTATAAGATGAATATTCATTATATTCTTGCGTCTGATTTTATAATTCATTTGGCCTAGTTTTTTTCCCCCCTAGCTCAGGAGGATGTAATGCCTGCTATCTAAGTGTCAAAGGAGAAAAGGCCTCTCTTTATCCCTTATCACAGTGCTTTGAATCTTTACTCTAAAAGAATTTTTTGACCAAGATCTTAGAAATATGATGAGAAAGAAGGGCTGATGTTGGAATGTTACAGAATGTGTAATAAAAATGCAATAGCAATACACAATCCAGCCATGCCACATATGCTCCTTCCCTAGTCATGCTTCAAAAACAGGTTTAAGGCCGGACATGGTGGCTCATGCCTATAATCCCAGCCCTTTGGGAGGCTGAAGCTAGAGGATTGCTTGAGCCCAGAAGCTTGAGACCAGTCTAGGTAACATAGTGAGAACTTGTCCTCACAAAAAATTAACCAGGCGTGATGGCACATGTCTGTTATCCCAGCTACTCAGGAGGCTGAGACAGAAGGATTGCTTGATCCTGGAATGTCAGGGCTGCGGTGAGCTGTGAGAGTGCTATTGCATTCCAGCCTGAACAACAGAGTGAAAATCTGACTCAAAAAAAAAAAGTTCAATGTAAAAATTTATGAATATTGATATTTGACCATATGAGTGCATGGATGGAGGTAGTGGTAGTGATGGAGATGGGAATATTTTTCTCAATGTAAGTTTGTTTTCCCTAGGAAAAGAAATATTTATTTCTCTTTAAAGGTTATGTCCATATTTTATTATTTCTGTCAATTTATCATTCTGAGATTCTGCTAATTACAATAACAATTTTTTTCGTAGCTGGAAACCAACATGTGATGTTTTTTATAAACATGAAGATTATATGCAGGATCGATTTACTGCTTATCAAGAAGCTATTGAAAAAGACAAGTACAGTACCTATATTAATTTTAGGCTTATCAGTTCTATAAGTTAGTATTACTAGCTTATGCTTTGTAAAAATGTAAAAATTATGTACTCAGGGAGTTTCTTTCTTTTTAAGTAAATGTAGTATTTTGGACTTCTTGGTTACAATTGGAGGTCTACCTATTTGGTGTAAAGCTCTGTCTAATCCTGGATATGTTTAGATATGACCTTAGAGATAAACTATTTCTCAGTAGCAGTTATTGTAGTGGTCTTTCAATTAATGGTCTTTATTATTAAATTGTTATAGGCAAACATTTAGGGGAATAGTTAACCTGTAGAATTAGCTTATAAAAAATTGGAGGTATTTATTTTTGAAGGTTATTTTATAGAAGACTTTTGTTTTTTAGGCTGCTGATTATTTGGGGTGGTTATATTCTAATGGAGAAACACTGATAGTTATATGGATTTATGTTATTATGTATATAATCACATTGTCTTGGGGATTAATGCCATTAGTGAATGTAATCTTACAAGCAAGAGACACTGAACACATTATATAGCATTAAAATTACACCTAATTTAAAGAATTGAAATGTTTTAATTTTTAGCATAATTGGATGAGAGCAGTATCTATTTTTATATTTTAATTAAAACATACACAAGCAAAATCTAGAATGCAGTATCCGTTGTATTTAAAGACAAGACTTAAGAGAAGGTAGGGAGCCGGGCTCGGTGGCTCAGCCTGTAATCCCGCGCCTTTGGGAGACTGAGGTGAGTGGATTGCCAGAGCCCATGGGTTCAAGACCCGCCTGGGCAGCGAGACCTCATCTCTACAATAAATCAAAAAATCAGCTGGGCGTGGTAGTGCATGCCTGTAATTCTGGCTACTCGGAAGGCTGAGGCGGAAGGATCGCCGGAGCCCAGCAGGTTGAGGCTGCGAGGGCCGGGAGCGGCCACGGCACTCCAGTCTGGGCGACAGAGTGAGACTCCAACTCAAAAAAAAAAAAAGAAAAAGAAAAAGAAAAAGAGAAGGTAGGGACTAAAGTTATAGATTTAGACTTCATTTTGAAATCATGAAAATAGATGAGATTGTCCAGGGAAATGTATGAAGCAAAAAGAGGAGAAAGCTAGAGTACATCATCATCCAAAGAGTAGGCAGAAGGTAGAATTAGTGAAGACAGCTATTATGTTGTCATTTATAGACTCCACTTTGTTTCAAAAAGGATTTGAGATGATTTGTTTAAATAATACCATAGTGTTAAAAAACTAGATACAAATCAAGGCTACAGGGAGGTGAGGATAGTGTAAGAAGATGAAGCCTTTGATGAAGTTATAAATTCATACTACACATTTGCTAGATCTAGACATAAGCACTGAAATTCCTAGTAATCAAGGCACTGTGGAAATGTGATCAGTTTGGGAGTCAGAGTATTTTAAAAATAGGTCAATTGCCTAGGTTAAGTAGAATTTTTTCCTGAGACTAGACAGAGGTCTCCCCTGGGTCTTAATAAAGGGAAAATTGTGCAATGTGGTAGTATCTTCAGTGATATCCTCCAACAAAACACTGTGTGTGTGTGTGTGTGTGTGTGTGTGTGTGTGTGTGTGTGTGTGTGTGTGTGTATGTATATAATTTATTTATTTAAAGAAGCATATATATGCTTATAACATCTCTCAATGTAAGCCATGGCTATAAAATATTAATTTTTAAAAATGATTCTGTAAGAGGCTAAAGAAAACCAGCCCCAAAATGTATCTCTGTGATAGTTTTTGTTGCAGATGACTTCTTGAGCTAACCAGAGGTATTAAAGTGAAAGCAGCTAAATATTTCTTCCTTAAACCAGCCACATAGCTTAATTGAATTAACGCCTCAGTATCAGGCATTTATAAAAGGAAAATAATAAATTTGTTGGCATCACGGATAATGGAGGAAGTAGAGTTACCAGCTGCTTGTTTCTCCTACTCTCCCATCCCTGTCCCAGGCATTCATGAAGAATAGTATTTCTGGCAACAGATGAGGTAATAAAGACTCTTCTTGATCCACGACCTGGCTATGCCAGGCTCTGCTAATGTTTCTACGTGGAGTATGTTAGAAGAGTGAACATGAGTATACAGTATTGAACAGGATGGATATGATAGGCTGATCTCATCTGAGACTGGTGATACAGGCTTAGTTTTCTTATAGGTATTTCTCTCCCCCCAAGGACCATTTCCCCAAATTATTACATAACAAATGGTGTCTTAATTTGCAACTATACAGTCAGAGGAACAGGTGCTTGTTTGGGGCTCAACTGCTTTTTCTTGCTAAAGGGGACCGTTTAGTAATATTAAGAAATTAAAGTGTTCTTAAGATTCAGACCTGCTGATCAGCACAAAGCTGGTTTCCTTATTTTTCTTCTCATAAGAGCAGTTTGTGAATGTTTGTTCTTTTGCTCTTTTGTCATCTGCAAAGGTGAGTTAATCATTAAAGTATCCTTAAAGAAATCTCCCCATAGGGTATGGCTTGATCTGAATAAGAAAATCTTGAGGAATGTAAGGACCATATATTTTCAAAAAATTTACTATGAATATTATTTCTTGAAGCTTAGTATTTGATAAGAGTTGGGGAAAAAGATATTTAAGAATATATTTTCTATAAAGAACTGGATTGAACATTTTCAGTATTGTAAATCAGGGTTGGCAAACTTTTGTTGTAACAGACCAGATAGTAAATATTTTAACTTTTGTGGGCCATGCAGTCTGTCATGACTACTCAACTCTGCTATTAATATTATGGCACAAGAGAACTTCAGACAATATGTAAATGAATGAACTATGATCTAATAAAACTTTATGGATACTGAACTTTATGTAGTTTTAATGTGTTGTGGATTTTTAAATTTTTTTCAATAATTGAAACTTGTAAAAATCATTAATAGCTTATGAGTTATACAAAAACAGGTGACAGATTAGATTTGGCCCATAGGCCATAATAATTGACTCTTGTGGTATCAAGCACAGGTCAAATAAGAAGGATGGTTAATTTTTTTTGCTAGAATTAATTATCTCACTCAAGGTTTGTCCCTAAGTAGATGACTACCCACTACTACTGGAGTTGGACTGGAGACGTTTCTCCAAACCATGCTAAAATTTTCTTAATAAAGTATTTGTGGGGTATACATGATTGTGAACCCAGAGTTCTAACATATAGAACTTAATTTCATGTGTTAGTTTCAGCTAAAGGAAATGAAATAAAAATTTAAAGGCATGGTTATAATGGCAGGTAAACTGGAGAGAATAGAGACTCAGAATCCAGGGAGAATAAAGGTCCAGCAAGGCTTAAGTGATCAAAATGACCAGGTTCTGCAGTGTCAGCATGAGCACTAAAAAGAGATCATTCCGTTGGACAAATTAGATCATTGGTGATCTTGGGAAAAAGCATGTCATTAAAATGGCGGGAGCAGGAGTTAGTGAAGAGAATTAAGGCATGGACAACTCAGGTAATGAAGAAAAAGAATAGAGTTGAGAAGTGTGGTGGAATTAAGGAGAGTTTAAAGGGCAGATAACATTGAGGGAAACAAGAATAAGTAGGGATTTGATTTAGGCGTAATTTGTAGACTTTAACAAGTGATGTTTACAAAGTTTTTAGATATACTCATGTTATATAGACATCATTCCTTTTCATTTTAACAGAAAAATGTATCATGATTATGTATGTCAGTATAAAGATGTTTTGAAGCAATACCAACTAAAATACTCAGAAACACCTTTTGCACGTAAATATTATGAGAAGAAAAGAGAACATGAAGAAATTCAAAACAGAGTGTTGACATGTACTAAACAACTAAAAATGAATGAAGCTATTTTAATGAAATTTCTAGGTATTAAAATTTTTGTTATATATTGTTTCAATTATGCTACCCTTGTAATGAAACGAATATAATAATTCAACCTGAGCTATGACTTTGTTTTTCAGTGCCTGCTCCCTTTCCATCACTTATTAAATGGACATTACACATGTATCCACAATGTATATTTACTTCTGATTTTTATTAGATAAGTATTATTTTTGTATTTTAATTTTTATTGTGTTTCCCTCATGATAATCACATGAATTTGTTTAATCTAAAGTTTTAGAGTTCATTTTAAAGGTCATCTGGGACTAGTTTTCATATATATCCAAATGATCAGAAGCAAGCAATTTTAGTGAGAATAAAATGACTTTAAAGTGGCATATCTTAGGAAACAAACCAATGAAAATGTCATCTTGCTCTATCTCATCAAAAAAAAAAAAGAGTTCCAGTTAAATCGATTATTACTTGTTAGACTGGAAGGCAGAAAGGGGGTGAGGCACAATTATTCATTCATCTATAGAAATTCAGAAGGAACCTACCTTTTACCAGGCAATACAGAAGACTATACAGAACTCTTTTGCAAGGAGCTCATAATCCTTCATATGCTTTCCTATCAGATTATAACTCCACTGTTTGTAATAAGTCTTTTTTATCCCTGCATCCTACCTTGCTTCCTGTCTGTTTCATCCTAAACTATCCATTTAACTTCTCTACTGCTTGCTTTCTCCATGTTTTGGTTTTAACCTATTTTGTTTTTAGTTGTCTATTTGCTGCCCATCTGTGCTTTAGTGGGGAAGATTAGAATTACTTGTTTACAAATAATTCTAATGCAGTACTAGTGTAATAGATACTTAAGTAATTCTTAATTGGTCTAAGTCTCACCTGTTTGTCAGAGAGATATTCCCTGATGAGGAACTTGAAACTTTAATCCTCTTTCAACCTCCATAATCCTTCATATGCTTTCCTATCAGATTATAACTCCACTGTTTGTAATAAGTCTTTTTTATCCCTGCATCCTACCTTGCTTCCTGTCTGTTTCATCCTAAACTATCCATTTAACTTCTCTACTGCTTGCTTTCTCCATGTTTTGGTTTTAACCTATTTTGTTTTTAGTTGTCTATTTGCTGCCCATCTGTGCTTTAGCTTCTCAGTGGGAAGGAGCAAAGTTTGGTAGATGCCGAAGATGTAAAATGGAATGAAATTTAATGACAAGGTGAATGACAGTAAGAAGAATTGAAGATTAGGATTTAAATATCTATAACATTTTTAAATGGTAACTTTTTATAACAACATAGTAGATATATATATATCTACCTAATATTCACCTGAAATTTTTTGTGTTCCAGCATATAAATTATATATTTTAAAGGCAAAATAGGAAAGGTCTGATGGATTTTCTCTGGGGTTTTTGTTCACTGTCACTATTCTATTCATTTTTAAATTCTCCTAAATGGATTATGGAGTAATTTAGGAACTTGTGCTACATAATAATCAAACCTTATGTCTATTAATAGCTGAGAAATTTTTTACTTGAAAATGGGCATAAAGTTTAGGCAGAAAGCCCAGATGAAAGTTCTACCTCTCTTCTGAATTCTGTGGGGTGCACTGAGTAAGAAAAGGAAAATTGGGTAGATTTTTGAGGTTGGCTTTGGAACAAATAAATAACGGAAGCGTAAAAAAGTTAAGTTTGGACCTGAATTGACTCTGTGCCAAATGATGCAATGAACTTTTTTTTTAAAAAGCCACCTTGTGAAAATACTTAACCGAAAAAAGAATCCTAACACATATTTTGGATGAAAGGTTACTTTTAAGCTCAGTATATAACATAGATTAAACAATACATTATCTTTGTTAGACAGCCAAATGTCTATATTATTATTTATGTTTTCAAATACTGTTTTAAATATTTCTTATTGTTTGTGTAGAACATATTTATGAATTATGTTACATAATAATTTATGATATAGTACATAAATGTAAAATTTACTTGGATGACATAGTTCCTTAATGTAAAAAGTATTCACTTGAGATGTAAAACACAAGATATTCTTAAGCATGCCAACAATTTTACCAAAAGTTCATCTGAATTGAAGAAAGAAGCAGATGAAATGGAAATAGAAATTAATTACTTAAAGCAGGTATATGTTTTGTTATCTATTTCTAATATATGTATTAATGATGTATAAATAGAATGGTATGTTAGTTGACAGTTTTAGAAGAGCTGTTTTTAATAGAGCCTAAATATGGAGAAAGGCATAAGATAATTTATTTGCCTCAGATTACCTTTGAAGCCAAAGTATATTTTAATTACTGACTACATTCAACTCTGATTTTGGAGTAGTAATAGTTTAGCTTTGGAGTCTGAGGAAAAAAGAGGAAATAACAAGATATAGCTTAATAGGAATTTAAAATTGTTAAAGGAGCTACATCGGTGTTTTTAAAAAAGGAAATAAGTAAATAGTTTTAAGAATATTACTCAAAAAATTTATAACTGCTATTTGTAATATTTAGAGAGCTAGTCTAGAACTGGTTTAGCCTTTAAGATTTTCTTGAATACATTTTTAATGTCATCCCTTAAATTGTGACTTTATTCATATAGGTATGAGAACCGATCAAAGTCCCTTCCAAATTTTGAGAAAGAATTGAATATAATACCTAATTTTGTATTTTTGAAAATTCTGTTAGATTGCATATTTATCATTCATAGGTATAAGGTATCAAATAACAGTAATATAATTTTAGTAATGAGAAGAAAATATATGCCCATTTAAAAATATATGGTAACTATGTTCCTATATAAGAAATCAATGTCTACTTTGCTTGTGACCTTTTAAAAAAAAACTACACTTGCCAATAGAATTTTAAGGAAAAGTTAAAGAGGCATGATTTATTGTTAATTTTGGCTCTGTTTTAACTTTCAATAAAAGATAATGAATACTACCAAAAATAGAAATCTTGTGATTATATGGGAAAAAATTGTGAGTTAAGATAAAATGTATGTTTTTTACTGCTTTGCAAGTAATTATTTTGTTTTGCCTTCCCATTTTTTATTTTGTAGCAGATTGCAAAACTTTATGAAAATAAGAATCTTTCAGAAATTCTGGAAGAAAAGAACAATACAGAAAAGGGAAGAGAATTGAAAGAAAGGTATAGGAAAACTTGAAAATCGGATTTTATGTAAACACATATTGTGCATCTAAAAGTTTGATTCTCTATTCAATGCCAAGCCACGAATATTTACACAGTATACTACTGCTTTCTGCTAATTTCTTATGAAAAATATTAATTTAAATATTATGAACTAATAGTCAAATCTGCTTGTTATTTAGTAAGACCAAGGTTAATATGTAGAGATAAATAGGGTGGCAGCTGCACATCTGCTGTTCTGTAACCTGTTAGCTGCATAATTAATCCAGTTTTTCATGATGAGTCAGCAGTAGGAGTAAAAAAAAAAAAAATGGAGAAACAATGATGGGAACGCAATATATTTACTTTTTTTTTTTTTTTATCACTTTGTCACCAGCTTGACCAATTCTTCCTTTGCTACAGAGAGTGAGGGGAGTTAAAGCATGCTTCTAAATCTGTGGCATCATATTTCTTTTTCTTTTGTTCTAATTGTGATAAAGGAGACATCAGTGGTGGAGGCATTAAAAAAATAAAAAAAGATTGATTTTTGCCTGTTATTGTGTGACTGCAAAATAGATGTGTTACTGTTACTGTTTCTGACCAACTTTGTTTTTATATCATACCTGTACCCTTTTAAATTCTTAAATTCCTCAGGTTTCTGAGGCCCTTATCCTGATTTTTCAACACACTCCTTTGTCTGGTTAATTTCTCTGATCTCACTTCCTTAGGTCTGTTATTTTCTTGATTTCCCCATTCCCAAGTATCACATTCATGGCAATGAGAGTGTCTTTAATTTTATAATAAAGTTGATTTAAAAATAGGTAAAAGTACAGAGTTTTACTTTATTGACAATATTGATAATATTTTTAAAATTTTGTATATTGAAAGAAGCATATTTAGTCATTTTTTACTCAGTATATATTTTTATAGTGTTTAATTCTTTGATTTATAAAATTCAATGACATTTTCTTTCTTTAAAAAGACCCATTTATGATTATAATATTGCTTTAATGATTTCCTCATTCATGCTAGTTGATTTGTTTTTTAAAAACAACTTTTTAAAAAACTTTATTTTATTATAGAGATATGGGGTATAAGTGAGGATTACCTACATAAGTAGGCTACATGCAGGTGAAGTTTGGGGTTCTAAATGGCCCTCACTATGCCTGGTAGTGAACCAGGAACCTTTATGTTGTAATGTGCCCTCCACCCTCCTTCTCTCCCTTCCTCCCCTAGTAGTGCCCCAGGGTCTGTCGATCCCTCTCTTGAGCTAATGTGGCTAATGTTCAGGACCCACTTATGAGTGAGAATATATGGCATTCAGTTCTTTGTTTCTGTGAGAGTTCACTTAGTATTATGGTCTCCAACTCCATCCAATTTGCTGTGAAGTCCTTGATTTTGTTCTTTATGGCTGCATAATACTCCATTGTGTATATGTATTGCACTTTCTTTTTAAAAATTTTTAAAAAATTTTAAATATGTGGGGTACAATTCAGGGTTAGGTATACAAAATGTTCTTTATGCAGGTACTCTTGTTAATTAGGTGCCCCCCCCCC